TGAGCTACAAAGTTACTTAAAGGGGGGGGGGGGGGGAGAGAGAAGATACCTGTAGCCTATCAATGCGGCTTGGGTGGGGTTTCTTCTTATTTTATTATAAATATTTGTATGCCGCCCAGGGGGTCACAAAGAAGAGGTATCGGCACTAAAAGAGGGTGGCGGTGGTGAATCTCAGATGCCTCCCTTTTCCTCCTTAGGGCTACAACCGAACTTTGACAAACTCCTAGCGTTGCAATGCACACAAGGACTCCTCACACACCCCATCCAACCATTCAGCGTTGCAAGACCGAAGGGAGAGGTTTTCTCCCTTTTCCGTCAATGCCTGTTCTTTTTGAAGCACACTCCTTTATCTTGGACTCCACGCCAACTATTTGGCTTCCTCCACTCGCCGGTATTACCAAACACAACAAAAACCACGAGGGCTGAGCCAGATACCCTGAATGTTTCACTTCCCTCCCATGCAGACTAAGCGGGCGATAAAATTGGGGTAAACGTTAAATATTAATATGTGTAGCCTTCGGGTTTCAATACGATCTGAAGCATATGAAATTATTCGACCACTTAGCTCTCTCACCATTTCGCCGGCTATTCAACAGTGTTTAATCTTAACAGATTATTTTTTTCTTATTAACAAAAACGAGAGAATATTTTCGTCCGTACATAACACAGACAGGTCTTCTGAAATGGAGAAGGTTGAACCGAACCAAACGGACCCCACAAGGCTTCAGCGTACCCTTTATAACAGCTGACAGAGCCTTCTTTCAAATGCCCTAGTAATAAGCGAAACATGCAGAAGCCTGCACAAAATTGAACCAATAGGTAGGTCTCCTCCTTCCCCATGTCTCTCCTTCCTACTGTTATAAACGCATAAGTCCAGTTTTTGGAAAACGAGGTTAAAATGGGACAATCCATTACAAAAGTGAACCACTAAATTAATCCAAGGACTCAATACCGATGCCTGAAAAACGCCTAGCCTAAAGTCCCTCCTTCACTTTACATGGAAAAGGAGACTATAAACAAAGAATTCCCCAAGCTCCTCTGCAGTCTGAGGAGAAAGGAAAGCAAGCACACGCCCCCTTTTCTTTCAATGTCCCTTTCCACCTAGGGCGAGCGCCCCGAAGAATCGAGCATGTTCCCGCCGTCCACCCTGCATGTCACTTCCAGAATTAAAAGACCGAAAGCTCTTTTACCTTAACTTCAGGCAAACGCAGCCCATTTGCCTAAACTAACCCTTCCGCCAACAGTTCTCACTGCAGCTGCCCCGGGTCTCCTCTCCAAGCCACGCTGCGGAAGGACAGCACCTTCCTCTCCCCCCACGAAGATGACCTCGCCGTTCTCAGCAGACTCCATCCTAAACCAACCTCAACCTCAACCTCCTCCTCCTCCCGCCCTAGGAGCAGCAAGGACCCTCGGCGCCTCCCTCCCGCCAGAGCCGCCGCATCCTGCTGCCGCCGAAGGGTTTCTCAGCTCATACAAGAACCTGCCGGGATCGTCGCTCTCCCCGCCCCCCGCCTTCTTCCGCCCCGGCGCGGGGGGCATGGGGCCCCCCAAACTTCTCTCTCTCCCCCCTCCCCACCTCCTTCTCTGTCGGGGCTTCAGCGGCTTTCATCTCCCTTCGTGGCTTCTCACCTGACGCCCCGACCCAGCGGGGGGATAGAGGACGTCTCACTTCGGGTCCCAGCTTCTGCTGGGGCTATAGCGCTGGCCCGGCCCCTCCATGCCGCTCTGGGGTTTGTTTTGTTTATGTCCCTTCCTGACGGATTCCCGGAAATCGCGTGACTCGCCCCCATCACGTGGGCTTTAAAAACGGGGGGGAAGGGCGAGAAGAGCCAAGCCGAGGCAGAAAGTAAGGAGCCAAAGCCACCAATCAAAAAGTAAGGAGCCAAGGGCCAATCAGCGGCCGCAGAAACTGGTCTCCCCTCTCATGTGACGGACCGAAGGGCGGGGAGAAGGAAGGGAAGGTTCTTGCTCAGCTGACGGGGACGGCGGCGGGAATTCAACGGGGGAGGGGGGCTACGAATGACAGCTCCTAATTGCAAGCTGCAGTTGCATTGGCCGCTCGTCCATGGAGCGAGAATTAAAGGGCCGGATTGTATTCAGTCCCAGCTCGATTTCTAGTGATCTCTAAATTGCCTCCAGTCTTGCAAAACTCCTTTGGGATAATGAGAGCTGCAATCCGACACCCCTGGGTGGGCCCACTGATTCGATCATGCAGCCTTACTTCAGTGTTATGATGAGGTGTCGACCTAGAAACTGGCTCTAATCCAGAGGCATTTTTAAAACCCAGAGATGCAGATGCGGAAGGATGTATAGTCCTGCTGTTTTGCAAGTGCTGGGCGATGGTCAGGATGAGAGTTCTCAGGGCCAGCCCCTTGTGCAACTATCTTCAGCTGCACAAGTCCTGGTTGCAGGATTGAGGATCTAGTATTTCTAGCCTATGGAATCTGAACTATTGAAAGCAATTACTGCTCAGAGGTTGCAAAATTGTTTCACTGTAAGGACAAAGCTACAGATTAATCCAGAGGAGGCCTCTGCTTCTCCAAATGACAGCCTAACATAGGATTTAGTCATCTGTAGTTTTTACCAAATATGTGAAAATAGACCTTCAGAGATCAAAATGCTGCAACAAAATTTTCTTATTAGCTCTAACAATGTTCTTCAGTGAAGTTTGTTCATATATGCTAAGGCAGATGGTCTAGAGATGAGAAAACAAGGGATGTACACGCATGTATGGGCTCACCCTAGGATTTGGTTCATGACCGTCTTCAGAAAGCTTAGCAGCCCCTATGCAGTATTTCCACATGGGCATCACATCGTTTTAGAAGTGTATCCATGGTTACCACTTGCAATGGATTATCATTTATATCTGACAATTTATTCATATTTTTCCTTCAAATTGGATACACAGTTCACTCAACTCTGACCAATCAACCATCACCAGTATTTCTCCATTATCTGTAAATTCTGATCTGACTTAAACAAACATTTTCGTTATTTAATGTAGATCTCTCTATAACTTAATTTTGAATATAACAAATACTGGTAACCTTAACTAATTCCATATATAAATGCTGAAATTCCTGGCCATATTATTTGTAACCTAGACATAATTACACTGGACTTTAGGGCACAGCTTTTACAGTGTTCTGCTGTAGTTCTCTATAAATCCAATGAAGCTATTCACATTTTCATATTTTACTATGTTATTTAGGCCCCAGAATTAGTTAAATCTGAGAAAATAAGGTTGAGAAAACACTGGACATCAGATCTAGATTTTCTGATGTGCAGGTATATCTGTAAGAGGAAGGATATCATCAATGAAGCTACAGAGGAGTAGCCTAGGTAAGTGGTCACTAAACTACTTCACTGAGAGGCATTTGAGTAAAACTAATTCCATAGCACTCTAAAACTCATGAACTCATAAATAAGTGATCCAAAACTTATGTTTCTATATATTTATGCAAAAATAACAGCCCAAGGAAAGCCAGAAAATTAAACAGAATAGAAATTTATTCCAGGTTTGTTTGGTGGGATACAGGGTGTTCTCAGTACACCTAGCCATCATCATAGGAATGATGGAACATTTTGTAACACTTGAAATTCAAGCAAAATTGTACAGAAATCAGGTACAAAATACCCATTAGGCACTTCAGGAGTATTAAAAAGTCTGAGTTAAATATTCTTCATAACAGAACAAAGGCATTAAGGTAGATGTGGATGGATTCAAAATATATTAAAGGCATCGTTCAATCAATGGAGCTTTATCATAACCTATAAAGAGAGAAAAACAGTTTATTTTATTTCAGAAGCATTTTAATTCAAAAGTCAACTAATTATAAGATTCTTGAGGGTGGGGCTGATAGAAGACTTTAATATTCAAGATACTACAACTGTTCCAAAAAAAGTTTTATTTTAACAGGCAGTACCATTTGGGCCTTGAAATACTAGTTTTTGCCTTCAACACAATTGCTAATCCTTCGTTAAATACAACAATATATGTATATAAATTAACAGTCAGCTGTAACCTACTGACATTTCTTCTTTTTAAAAAAAGCTGTCTAAAATTAAAAGCGAACCTAGTGACAGAATATTAGTTTTGACTAATAAGGTTAAGATCCTGTCTCTCCAGCTAATTCCAATTCTCTTGTTGACACTCCAGTACTTCCAAGTCAAAGTTGTTATCTGCAAGGAACAAATTCACTATAACAAATATGCCACAAAGATCGCTGCTTTGTCACCTAAGGCTTCTCTTTGTAAGGCACAGCATGATCACTGACTTTTATGAACGACTAAAATGTTAAAAAGGAAATAAAGCTACAACCCCAATCCTGAGTCATCACCCAAATTCATTCCATGTCTGATCTGAAAACACTGGAGCTTTGTTTCAAAGGAAAAAAAAAACATAATTAAAAGCATAACATCTATCCTCAGCTGTTTCCAACAGAGCAAATGACAGATATTCAGGGAAAGAGTTCTGGAAGTAAAAGGCACAAACAAGTTTTCTAAACTGAAATATAATCATTTATAACAGAAACCAAGTTCATGGATTGGTGTAATCCTTTCTGTAATAATTTGTGTGGCAAATCTCATTCCACGCCCAAAACACTGAAAGGAACCAACCACTTCTGCTCAGATGATCAACAATCTTGCTCAGCTCCCAGATTCCCATAAGTAATACTCCCTAGCTTCTGGATCTGAGAAACGAGCACACATCCCATACAACGCGCTTCAAGACAAGTGGCATGGCTGCACTTCTATTCTGTTTAGTTTTTAAAAGACAAATAAAATGAATACTTTAGTCTTGCAAGTAGCAATGATTAAAAGTACTCCTGAATTAACAAGATACACTGACTTTAGAAAGGAGACTGATTTGCCTTCTTGGCTCAGAATAATTAATATTCGGCTCAATAAGCAAACTAATTACATCACACTGCCCATTTTTGAAGTTCTCTTTGATAACTCTGTGTATGCTTAGTAAAAATCCTTTATGTCAATTTGAAGTTTAGAATTCAGTTTACACAGATATTGTCAACAATCAAAAATGTTATAAGTTTCTGTAATGTAAAAGAAAATACCCATTCTTTCTCAACTGAAAAGTAATAATATGAAGTTAAGAATCACAGAAGAATTAAATATGAAAAGTAACCATAATTAAATTATATAAGTGGAAACCTCTTTTATTGTGGTTTTGAAACAGGTACAAAACAATATCTCTGTTTTGGTTGAGTTCATGAGCTGCTCAAAAACATCAACCTCAGTTTATATTATACAGTTGCTATGTTCACATAGCACACTATATTAGGGCAATCTATCAACAGATCAAAAGAGAAACTATTCTATTCTGGCAGCCAGAATACCAATTCCACTGGTTAGTTCCATTAGTCCTCTCCTTGGCCTTCTGTTCCATAATCAACCTTCTCTCACCAGACTGTTCTCTTCAACCTCTTTTAATCAGTGACTAACACAATTCCAGTTTCTTTCAGTGTTAATGCTAAAAGTCTGATGAACTGCAATCAAACTCTAGAAGCCAAGTCTGAAAAACTAAGTCTTTTCCTTTACATAATAATGTTGTTAGCAAAAACAGGATTTATTATTACAATCTTTTCAGCAAAGTGAGTTGGTTTCATCTCATGCAATAACTATCCTAACCTCAGCAAGGTTATTGCTTTGATCTCGGATATGCTGCACACATACACAAAGTAATCACAGAACTAGCGTGATAATAATGATGGAACAGGGAGAACAATGTTCATTCCTTGAACAAAAGGAGAGATATAAATGTAGTGAAAAACAACAACAAAATGGCGTTTACCTAGCTCATACTGCCATAGACATGGAAATAAGTGTTAAGGCCAGTGTTCCTTCAGATACAGGATTGTCTCACTTTTTAACTGTGGTCCAAAGAGAGGATTCAACTGAGCCAGAATGGCAATCAGCCAGCTGCAAAATAAGAACAGATTTATTAAGGGATTGGCTCATATGGAATATTGACAGGGCAGAAATAGAATAACTAAGTCTAGCATCTACACAAATTCTACTAAAAGTATAATTTCAAAAGAAGAAGCAACCAGAATAGTCTAAGCATCTACTTAGAAGTCCAGAATATATTTCTTAGAAACTGTCTTTTTCAATTTCAAGGAATGGAGAATCCTATCAATTACTCTTCTGTTTATGCTTTTCTTAAAAGTGATTAAATGTTCTATAACTAAAGATGCATCAAATTCAGTATCCTAATAATTTTCCCCAACTGGCTCCATTACACATGCCTGGAAAAATCGCTGAAATACAAGAAAAAAGTAGAGGGGAAAAAGCCCTCCCTACTCCACCTCCCCAAAGTAGCCCCAGAATGCTGAGAAAAACATGGAAAATGAGCATGTGAGAAGAACTGGAATGGAGTATCATGGAGGATGGAATAGTTGACAAGAGTACTCCACATTGCAATATTTTGTTGCAGGCCCCTTTTTTTCTTTTAAGGAAATACAGTACTGTTTTAAAAGCATTATAACAGTTACATCATCTGTGTAGCCCTATTAATCTGAACTATAATTTATCTTGTCCTTATATTTTGTTTTCCAGGTGAATATGCTTTGAGAATCTGTACGTTTACTATCCTTTATAGACTTTTTGCTAAAAATGGATAAAAATGAACGGTTGATTTTGAGATTTATTGATTTAAAAAGGTTTGTTTATGGGAAGAAGGGAACTATGATATGTAATATGGGAGGGTGGAGATAGTAATGTTTGATCGGAAGTCACTTGTTTGGATTTTTTTTTCTCATTTTCTTGTTATTCACTTTTTCTTTTACCCTTTTATAATCTTTTTCTATTTCTTCTATGTTTCTGTAGTTTTTTAAAACGTTGTAAAATCTTCCTTTAATAAATTAAAAAAAAAGAGAGAGAGAATCTATACGTTTACTGATAGTACTACCTTACTCCTGGTTGTTTTATGCCTTGGATACAAGAAAAAAAACGTGAGAGAAGAGAAATTATTTTCATCATACATCTCTCGCAAAGAAAGCTTATATCCACTTCCCACATACTTTTTAATAATAATGTTATGCAAAATTGGTTAAGAGCTTCTGAAACCACAGTAGTATATTACAAAATAAATGACCTTCCTTCTCAAAGCAGTGGTCACATTAACCAAAGAGGAGTCATAGTTAAGACGCAAACATTTTTCACAATGGAAAATACAGAGGAAAATGCAGCACATTTATTTCTGAATCACTCACTCAATTTAACAATTCAAATCTGAAAATGGACTTTAGAATCTCTTTAAACTGTAGAGAATTACCACTGGCCTAATGCTCAGTATACAAAATATTTTGTGAACACAATGGTACATCTAACTGCTATTTCTAGAATGCTTTTGAAGGAGGAGAAAGAGCAAAGCAGCTTTGTAATGGGAGCTGCTATAAATGCAGAGAGCTTTGGCAGTCATGGAAAATTCCACACAAACCTGGATGCTTGGACCAGAAAATGAAATACTGATCAGATGGGGGAGGAAAAAAAAAACAACCAGCAGCCATAGGCAGCTGCAAGATTAATTCTTTTTAAATGTTATTAGTCAATTTTCACTATAATTTTAAGTACATGTTAAACAATTAAACAAAAATGAGTCTCAACCTTTAACACAAAATATAGGACCTTAAGGGAAATTAGCATTTTCCCTACCTATATAGGATAGTCAGTCTGGTCTCCAGGACACTCTTCCTTGGAATGATGCTACAGCTTTACCTATATCAAATTGTTAGGGCCTCTAGGGGCACAAATATTATATGTAGCCCTCTCTATAGACAAAACACATGTTTTCTTATCCTCTTACCATTTAATGTGCAGGTACCACTGCAAATATTTACTCATGGCTGCCTAAGTCAGTGTTTTTTTCAATTTATGTTCCAAATAATTGACAGGGTCCTTCAGAAGTTTTCAGTAAAGACAAACAGTGTTTTCTAAAGAGTATGTTCTCTGCTCTTACCAACATTCCCCATCATGTGCAGCATCAAAAAGTTTTCTGCAACCACAGGGGTTTAGCTCCTAGGCATAGTCAGTTATAATTCCCCATTCCAACCAACTGTGGAATGTACTTTCTGAAACTAATAGAGATTCTATGACAAAAACATAGGAAATGTTCTCTGAAAATTGATTATTTTGAAAACGGAAAGAAAATGCATTCTTAGAAGCTTACAAAAGCTAGTAGGGTTGGGGTGGGATATTGAATGAATATAAACAGATGCTTTTTGTTGTATTGAATACAGTACTGGGTTTTTACAAAGCAGACTAGGATTATTCAAGACTTTTGGAAAAGCATACTCACAAAAACACAAACCTGCTGTACAGTACACCTACTATAATGAGTTCCCCAGTAAAAACCATGGCTAATATGCAGCTATGTTATTCAGGGGCAAGTTATCCAGTTTCCAGATCACCCTGGGATTTCTCACAGTTCTGTTAGGCAAGAGTTAGACTGAATTCCTCTGAACATAGAAGCCATTTCAAACTGAACATTAGATTTAGTCACTGGACACCAGAAAAGGCTGATCCATGCAGCAAAGCCAGAGCAATTCCAGGCCATGTCAGTCCTGTCTTTTCCAGATTTCACATGGGTTCACTTCAGTATATTCCAGTAGTCTTACTATTGCCCAAGGGTGCGAAGAAAGAGGGAAGCTCCTGCCCGTTATGCTCTATTAAGGTTGCGCTTCCATGAACAAGATAAACAGTTTTACCAATTTCAAAAATCTTTTGCTGAAATATTATATATAAATTAAAAGCCAGAATTTGTTATTAATATCTGATTTTGTTACTTTAATGTAAAAGAGATGTCCTAAAGACAAACATCAGAAGGAGATAAAGTTGAGCTCTTTGCTGCAAGACAGCTGCTAAACATTTCACTCATCCAGCCATTGCAAGGATAAGCTACGAAATAATTAGGTATCACAGCAGCAACAGAGACCCTATTAGTACAGCAACAGTGACATTCAAAGCTGCTGTTTGGATACTGCATTTTCCCTTGGAAGCACAAATACTAGCTTTATTAAGATAAGAAAAATGATGGGTTCATTCTAAACTATAGTCAGCATGCAGAAATACTGGGGAGGGGAAATCTGCTACAACTATCTTCTAATACTGTCTACTAAAACCGATTAACTTCCTTTGTGGTTCATAATACAACTGGACAGAAAGTGAGTTTAACTATGCAGCTGGCAAGGTGAAGGAGAAGATGCTCTCTTTTTGCTTGAACTGCAGCCAGAAAGACATAGAACTATTGTGTGTCCATTGTATTTGGACTCTTAAGCAGCTCTGCACCCCAAGCGTTATACTAAGATACTTTACAAGTTCTATTCACAATAGAATAACTGAAGATTTAAATTGAGCATCCCATCCCTTACTATCACATCCTCTCTCAATTGTGCTGCGATTCTTCAATTCATACAACTTACATTAAATAAATAGATATAGACTGAGAGGTTGTTTATGTAAGATGGTTAAATATAACATAATTGTTTAGAAGTATCAGGAAAATTAAAAGAAATGAATGTTATTTATAAACACTCATTCAGATAGCCCGGAATGATGACTATCCTTCATCCTCTGGAAGACAAAAGTGCTAATTAAAAAGCTCTTGGTATACTAATAAGTTCTCATCAGGTGGTAGAGTTATATGCAAGAGCTCCATGGCAGTAGAAATTAGGTTTCCACCCACACAGAAACAACTGTAATCCTGTTCTACATTCTGAGACACTGTTTGGTTTCCTCTATGTCAGTTAGCCCAGTCTGGTGGCTTCTACACCTGGCATCTGAAAATTTGAGGAGTTGTACTCCCAAACACATCTGGAAGATGGCAGGTTGGGAGAGGATGCTCTCTGCTGTGAATGAGAAGTCACTGCTTTGAAGATATTCATAAGCACATTTCAAGCCAGTGAAGTACAACAGCCTCCCTTGCTTTCATAAACTGTGAAAAACTACCTGAAACTACATTTGTGTAGTGAGCTGTTCTCTTCATATATATACCAAGCCAAGTGATGTCTGTTTAATAAAGATATCCCTCTTCAAAGGTAGCATCTGCTTCCAATTCAGCTTGACCCCATAAGCAAATCTGGGTTGGTAGCAATGAATTATACAGAAGGGTTTTGCCACTGCACTGCCTTCCTCTGGGAAAATTTTTGGTGTTTCCCAGCTAACAAAGCTTTGGGTTTTCTGGTTGCCTCCCAAGTACTAACTAGGTCCAACATCGCTTAGCATTTTGGGGATCAGCCAAGATCAGCTAGTGCTCCCGTCTGCTGTGATGATTTCTATTTACAGACTATCAAATTCATGCACAGGACACACTGATGAAGTGGAAAAAATGTGGGTGATGTGGCAGAAAAGAAAAGAAAAGAATAGAGCTTTAATCTGACAAACCTGAGCAGGTTTTCCATAACTGTAACTTCTCCTTTTTTACTATTACAGTCTTAATTCTATTTATTGTTTTTAATAGTTGTTTATACTTGTTTAAACTGTTTAACTGGTACGCTGCCCAGAGTCATGTTTGTGAGATGGGCAGCTATATACATTTGGTAAATAAATAAAATAAATAAATTACTTCCTTGGTCAAGAAACCCATTCTGCAGAATCACCATACAGTATTGTTTTACAGATCTTGAAATTTACTCAGTGGATAACACAATTATTGTATGCAGAAAATTCCTGCTCAAAGCTATTGCCACTATGAGATGTTTTAGGTAAAAGATCATATATAGTTTGCATATAAAAGGTTCAATTCCTAGCATTTCCAAGTTTTATTTTAAATAAACCTGAAACAGAAACAAGCTGCTGCCTGTCAATATCAATAATATCAGCTGGATATATCAATAGTCTGAGTCATAATAGAAGTCTGCAGTTGCACAATGCAACTGACAAAAATGCACTGTGATAAGACAACACACATCCTGTGATTTATGTACTTGCATGCAACACTGGAACCAAAATATGAAAAATGAGGGGGGTTGTGCCGTGATGCATGTTTTATCATTTTGCTATCATTGTAGTTTAAAGCAGATGCCAGTGCTCAGTATAATATAAAGGCAGCTTTTTGCATTCAAAGACCTACTTGGTTCACCATTTACCACGCTCAAGTTCAAATAACAGACCTGGCTCCAAATGTTTTTGATGGAAGCAGGGTAACTGAACACTCACACTGACATACTGGGCATTGCCATTGCTGCAGGTAAGTACAATCACCTGGGGACTAAGCAAGGTGGGGTGGATGGTCATTCTCCCCTCATACAGAGTTACTCTACACTGGCACTCTACTAGTTCAGGAACCCAGCAGCCCCTTGCTGGGCAAGTTCACTTGCAAGCAAGAAGAAAGGTTGACAGTTGCAGGATTGTCCTACTCATTAGCCCAACTGGCAGGTGCTAAAGGGAAGAGGGGAAAGGCATTAGCTTTTAGGCATCTACCAAGGTTGTGGGTGTAGGCTAATACCCCCCTATGTTGAATCCACATATATCTACTGAAACTTACATTTCCAATCATGTTTCCATAATTTATTATTTACCCCTTCTTATTCATGCCCAACACAATATCTCCCCACTGTGAAAAATTCTTTCCAAAGCACTTTATGGCTGGCAGTACCAAAAACATTTTAAAATATTATCTGATAGAATGGTAGCCAAGAACTTAGGATAACATAACTTCTTCCCTTTGCTAGTTGGCTAGCCTAAAAGAGAAAACACCCAAATGTATAAAAATGGCTAATCTTACTACATACATACATACATACATACATGTTTGTTTGTTTGTTTTTTGGATATCTCTTAGCTACTTCAAAGATGGGGGCCCATGATCCTTCAGACATTAATCTATAATTGTTCAGAGCCAGTGATAAGGAATGCTGGGGCTTTCATTCAATGCAACATTAAAACAAAGAGATATCATGATGTACAGCATTTTTAAAAGTCATCTGGGTCACAGCTTCATATTTATAAGTCTTTGGGTTTGTTGAACCATAAATAAGTACAACATATGTACACAAAAACTAGCTACGTAGCACTTCCATCACCTAGGCTACTTCAGGCTACAGTAAGTTAGACCTTGTTTAGGAATAAACAATGTGGCTCACAGTTTATAAAGACAAAAATGAATCCAATTCTTAGAGAAAACTGGCTGTACACAATGATGTTTCAGCTTAGTAGTCTGTCTTACTGTTTTCATTATCATTGCATTCAGGAACAGTATTCTAAAATAAGTACTAAGCAACTATTCAGGGAATTTAGAGAAGAGCAGACAATACAGCTTATTAAAATGCACAGATAGTTGCAAAGTATTTAACACCATAGAACAGAAAAGGTACTTAGCCTTCATTCCTGTACAGCAAATATGTAATCAATTCTACAGAATCCTAAAATATTTTAATAGAGTAAATCAAAATAATAAATGATAAGTAGGAACAATACTAAAGCAGGAAATATCAAAAGATATACAAGTTGCATAGCGAAATATATATTTTCCCACCAATGTTATGCTGTCTTTTTATGACTAAAACACTGAATGAAAAAAAATACATGTCTGAAGACTTCTAGATCAACCCTATATGTCATGTTCATATTTTCTTGCATCAGCCACTGTCATGCAAATCTTCCGAATCCACAATCAAGATACTAAATTCAAAATATGTTGTAGTTATAGCACTGATTTTTACCATATATGGAATGAAACATTAATACTTACAATAGGTAGCAGCACACAGCACATGTCACCAACATTGTGTTAATAACACTGTTGAAAGAAGAAAGATGGCTGATAAAGTAGAAGTCATGTTTACAAATTGGCATTAGAGAAAAGGGAAAAAAGACAATTTCTCTAATTTTATTACACACAAGTTAGAGATACTGATATAATAATCTAATAATAATTTTCAAATTGTTCATAAATGTTAAAATATGTAGATTATTGTAGGTTAAGTCAAGTTATTGTAGTTCAGAGTAAACTAGGCCATCTGATAAATTTACAGTAAAAGCAAGAGTGAATCATTAAGATACAGCCAACTTTATGAGAGTGCAGAACTTTTCTTTCCATGTAACTCTCCTCACCCCCAAATATCTAATCCAGATCTTTGGGATGGAATGGGAAATCCGTTCCACCGGCAGTTTAGGAAAAATTCCTAAAAATTCAGGAATTTTTAGATCCACAACTCAGTCTTTCAAGCCATTACCATGTTTTCAAAGAATGAAATGCCACCATCCCAAATTTGGTTTTCATTGCTCTTCTGCCTTTCCTGCTTATTCTCATTTTTTAAAAAAGCATCTTTCATATGTGTATAGTTGCCATGAGAAGCTAAAGGCATATACAGCCTATGGCTGACAGAGGAACTATAGCAAGTAGACATATTTAAGTCATAGGCAGCTGCCTAGTCTTCCCTAGCTAGAACAAAATAACATATCCAAAATAATAAAATACTGTGCCTTCACACAAGTCAGAGAATTTACATATACATTTTTAAAGCATGCAATATTCAGACATTATCAGATATAGTCCCAGTGTGTGTGAGTGCCTTCCAGTCACTGTTGGCTCCTGGCGACTGCCTGGACAAGTCCCTGCACTTTTCTTGGCAAGATATCAGAAGTGGTTGGCCACTGCCTGCTTCCTAGGGCTGAGAGAGAATGACTGGCCCCAGGTCACCCAGCTGGCTTCATGCTTAAGGTGGGACTAGAACTCACTTCTCTCAGTTTCTAGCCTGATGCCTTAACCACTACACTAAACTGGCTCTCGTTGTAGTCGTAGCAGTATTAGTAAATCAGAAAAAAAAAAAAAGTAAGGCTCTAACTACATTTTAAAAATGGCTATTTGCAAAGCCTAACGAACAAGACTTTGTTCAGAACAGAAGGCACCAAAATATGTCTCGAGAACCTCCATTCATTTTGCCATCCTTTCCCCAGGCCCTCAAAGCTTATGCAGATGTTATTATTCAACATCTGGCACTAGGGAATGAAAACATTTTTCTAAATAGAAAATTTTGAAAAATCAGTATTTTCACTATAGGCCATAAGTTATCTATGCAGTTTTAAGGGAAAGCTATTCTTGGCACAAAGATCAGAACTAAGTTAATTATCTCATTGCTATTTGTGAATTTTGACACAAGGAATTTAGTATCCTACATGAAAGGCACCAGGTTGCTGATAGCAATGGTAAGAACAATATGTTTTCAGGAAAAAAGTTTCACTTCAAATTAGATTATAATCCCTATGAGTGAATAAAAAATGAATGTTTGCTGATTACATAATAAAAGGCTAGGGAGCCAGAGTCTGGATATTTATTCTTGCTTTCCTTTTAAAAAAATATATTTACCCTAGTATTTCTGCCAAGCATGTACACAATCATCCTTTCATACTACCATGCTGAATTAGGCTACAGTTAGAACAGATGAGAGTTGATTTAGCTACCAAACTTAATTTCTATTCAAGACAAAAAGAGAATACACTGAACTAATCATTTTAATCTCTTAAGTATGATAACTGTTTTCCAGTGAATTTTATGAAGCTCAGAGCACTGATGGAAAAGTAGTTTCAGAAATACAGGCAACTTTGGAAGTTTAAAATTGTTCTGTGCCGAAAAGAGAATCATAGATTGGGCTATTTTCTTAAATTTACTGTGTTATCGATCAATAAAACTTAATCATAGAACTGATATGATTTGTTTATTAAAAGTGATCAGTCACAATTTACGTAAGTATCTATTCTCGGATAGTCTGCTAGGGGTAAGTGGCAAATTAGCAAAGACTCCTGTTCTACAGATTCAAGGAAAGTAAAAAGCCACTTAAGAACAAGGTAACTAAATCCAATGCAACATGTAAAGTGCAATTATATAGTCTCAAGGCTTGCATAGACTGTACCTCACAGACCAGCTCAGATATTCCTTAGAGAAGGCAAATCAGGTCATTTACTCATCCTTTGTTCAAACATTATTTTGAGAAGTACATCATGCTATATACCAGGTTGCCTTCAGAAACTGCAACTGGGTTAGAAGAAGCATGCAACTCTAGTACTGTATTGTTTGAGCTGCATTTCTGAACCCAAGTTACTGCAAAAGCCCCAAGTAGTTTTGGACCACGAAACTTCAGAACTTGTTTCTTCCTTGAGAACTGACAAGGAGATCTTGCTCCAAATACCACCTTCTTTTGAAGTCTAACTGTACATACAAATAGTATAGTTTTCTTATCCAAAATAGTCTGATCTTGAAATTTCCTTTCTCAGAAAACTGCCTTGTTTAAATAGCTTCCTAATTTGCACATTAATTTTATTTGGCTCCACTGCCGACGGTGCATTTTCATATACTGCTCTTTTTTTCCATTTAATTGAAGGGAGCAGCAATCTCTTACTTTCAAGATCCTTTGGACTACAACCCCCACAATACCCTCCTGGCCAGGGATTATGGGAGTTGGAGTTCAAATCGTCTAGGCAGCACTCAGTTCCCTGCTTTTTTTGTCCTAAGCCTTCCATCCTCCTCCACTTAGCAACTTTTTAATAAAAAACACCTTATAGATTAAAAAATAAAATAAGCAATTGTGTAAAGTAATAATCATATTTTGACATTTAGCATCAGTGCTGTAAGAGCAGAATGAAGAAATCAGAATAACGCTGAAAGGGGAAGTTAAGCCTTCCAGTCCCATCCAAAAACACGATTACCTAAAAAGGCCGTTAACATTCAATTATTAGCGTTACAATAATAGGCTATCATGACAGAACAAACTGGAACATCTGTCTCACGTCCCTCTGACTAGGAAGACGGACTTAAATAAGAAGCAGCCTGAAACTGTCACAAGACGGTGACAGTGCTACCCCTTTCAGCCAGCCTCACACGAAGCTGATATTCCAAGGGTGGGCTTCACCACATAAAGGCCCCCAAGCCCAGCAGCTCCCCCGGGAAAGTGGGGTGTCCTCGGGGGTGTATCATGATTGAGAGGCAGCCCTCAGAAACCAAACCGGGAAGGAGCAGGCGACCCGGTGGCCGTCTTGGGGGAAGCGGGAGAAAGAGAAGGAAAGGACGCTGCGTTGCTGTGGTTCGCCAAGCAGGAGGAGCAAGAGTCGTTTCTTGCCCTCGGGACGGCATCGGAGCCATGACAAGCGTTCGCGGCAGGCAACCAGGCCAAAGCGGGGGAGGGGAGGGCAGCATCTCCGCCTCGCCCTCCTTCTCCGGAGCGCGTCTTACGTCTTCGTTTTCAGTCACTTACCCCCGGTTAGGGCCTTTGGGAACAAACCACGGCAGAACTCCACCGATCACCCCCCAGAAAACGCTCATGACGATGATAGGCACTAGTAGGCCGCCGTACGCCATAGCTGCCTCCTTCCACCAACTCCGGCTCTAGCCAACGCTACGGCTGATTGCCACCCCGCTTTGCTAGCCACGCCTGCCTTGGCGTCCTAGCCAATCAGGGCAGACGTAGGACGGGCCTGCGGAACGCGTCTTTTCGCGCCCCCTTGGACAGCGGCGCAATGCAGGGGCGGGGACTCCGGCGCCCTCCATTGGCGGGGGGGTCTTTCTCGCTGCGCCGTGGAGAGCGCGGAAGCTTCCTAGTCTATATGCGGAGGCAGCCAACGTACAGCCCATTAGGTGAGACGCAAAAGGATGCGCCGACCTTCCCTCGAACTGCCCAAACGGTTTGGAACACGCCGCCTAGCTTTGCGGTTCGCCTTACTCCCCATGATCATGGATGTATAGCATTTATTTCTAGCCCGAACTACTGTCATCTCAGTGTTTAACGCATTTTGCAGGAAAATAAGGGTAAGTACTGTACTTATTTTGGAGATTTTTTTTCCTTTCACTTAGAAGAGTTAAAAACAAAGCTGCTTTTGTTTAAAGGCTATTTCCCACTTTCCTTTTCCTATTACAACTTGAACTGTGGCAAAATGGGCAGAAAAGGAAACTGGGAAATGAGAGGGTTAATGCTGAGCATGAGAAGTGGCAAAGAGAATAATCTTTGTAGAGCCTATCCAGATCTACAAATCTAAGGTAACAGATGTAGATGGTGAATAGCCAACGCTAAACAGAGGGGAGCTGGTCAACCATCAGACAGAACACTGGATACAAGAGACCGTGGCCCCTGCTAGCAGTGCATGCAGGTGTGAGCAGCAATCCCTGTTAGTCTTCCATCCCCAGACCAGTTTGTAATTAACATTTGGCAGATGAAGATAACCCTTGAGTTTGTCAGTATTATGTTGTCTGCTCACAAAACATTGTGAAGGATGCTGAAGTAAGATTTCTCCCTGTAGAAACATGCCATCCCTACTTGGTTTTCAAAATTGTTAATTTCCCTATTTTATGAACTAAGGATGTTAGGCTAATAGCCTTCTAATTTCTTAACTTAATTGTAGCTGATTTGAAGAATAGCCTTGGAAGTTAATGTCTAACCACATATTTTTGATTTTCAACCATGAATTCCCTGCTACAAATTTTCTGCAAAGAGCATACAGGAAACACCAGTATGGCTAATTATTTCTCTACATCCATGTAATATTTTTTGGTAAGGGAAAATCTCTAATTTTTATCTAATTTGCAATATATTGCTTTTTGTTACTATGTCAAAGTTATAAAAGTTGCAAAAATAAGAATACTGATGCAATACAATTTACTGAAATTTTAATGGATCTGACAAAAAAGTCCATTTTATTCTTGCATCTTCTCAATTGTTTCTTCCTTGTATTTTCCTTTCTCTTTTCCAACCTGGCGAGACTTCGCTTTGCGTTCCAAGATCTTTTTGCGATCCTTGTCCAGCTTTAATCTTGTGATCACCACCTATGGAGTCAAAGCAAATACTTATTTTTTTTTCCCTTAAGTATTCCAAGGCATCTCAGTATGAATGATTCACTACATAAGTTATTTTAGCATAGCACCAATTTGTTGCCCATTTTTAAAAATGTTGCAGTTAGGCCCTGCATTACAGCCTGTCTCAGAGGTTGGTTCTGACTTGTTAGAAGACTACTGGACCAAGGAATTGGGTTTGGACTGAATTCTACACAAGCCACTGATGAAATTTCCTTGAGTTGTTTAACCACCTGATGATGCAAGGAGTAATCAAAAGCTATCAGGTCCAAGCACTTGTTCAGTTCCAATAAATCAATTCTGAAAAAAATCTTGGCTTATTATGACAACACTAGCTTACTATTACTGACTACCAAGCAGGAAACACAGAATTTAAAATATCATATGAAAATGTGCAATGCAAGATTTCAACCACCATTCCATCAACTAGTACAAATTAGGCAAAAACCTTTCCTATCAGCAAGGGATTGCATTGGCCAATCTTGCATGGGATCAGAAGCTAAACAGGATTAGCCATGATCAACACTTGGCTGAGAGACCTTGAGGGAATACCAGGGCTGTAGACGAGTAGAAAAATAGGGGAAAAAAATATTCCCGAAAAAGTCAATGGCAAGTAATTTACCTATTGCTGGCAAGAAAACTAAATTGACTTTATTTATTTATTTATTTATTATTTAATTTGTATGCTGCCCATCTCCCCCAATGGATGACTCTGGGCGGGTCACAATTAAAATCAAAAGCCCATAAACAATTAAAATACCCCATAGATAATTAAAATTACTAAATCCATAAAAATCAACTATAAAACAAACCCTATGGGAAAGTTAACTTTTCAACTCTATTTAAATTAAAGGTTTTGTTTGTTTGTCTGGTACAGCACCCAATTCCTTTTAAATCAGTATGAAGAAAAGCACACATTTCTCCACTGGGTGGGCACAAGGTGAAAAATGTGCTTTGCATGGAGCAAACACAGTGTGCCTATTATATATAATAACCCATTCCAGATGGGTTATTATATATATAGCTGAAATGAAAGCAGAATCATTTAAGTTGAGCTGGGTTTGAGCCAAGGAAAACCCAGTCTTAAGGGGCAAAGCTGGTGCTATTGTACCATCCTCCTCCAGGAAGGCCTGTGCACCAGCCTGCCTACCAACTTTCCCAGAATCTTTCTAGTCCAGCACAGCATACCTGCCTGTCCCATCCAGCCTCTCTCATGTTCCCTTTGTTTTTCTCTCCCACCTGATGCACCTGCCTACCTCTCCGTCATGCACATTCCTTCCCTGCCAATGCCCTTGGCACAACTTTTAGTTTAATACCCACTTTTCTTTTTGTTTTCTTCCTATTAAAACTAGGTAAATCTATGAAAGTGAGGTGAAAATGAAAGAAAAGCAAATGGCAAAATGAGGAGTTTAATGCTGACCATTAGAAGAGGCAAACTGGGAGAGTTAATTTTCCAATTCTTTATTACAAAAATATTGCAACTATTACCAAGCAAGGTGATGCTTGTGTGGTCAATAGATGTTCTAGACTACCTATTCTAAAAAGCATTCTGTAAGATTACTAGCATAAAGAAACTAGGAGAATTAATCTCACCTTATTTTCCTGTGTGCTCGCCTCAATTATTGACTGATTGATTGATTGATTGATTGAATTTTTCAGCC